ACATACTCGCCAAGTCTAAGGCTATCTTCAACCTACTCGCCGAGTTGTTCATCCAACTCGTCGAGTTCCAGCTCATCTTCAAGCAACTCGTCGAGTCCACCCATGTGACTCGCCGAGTACCACCGGTCTGAATCTATACAGAAGCACTCTAGGCCATGCAATTGATCCAAAACATAGATCTAACCCCCTACAATCCATTCATCACGTAAAGTGGCAAACTTTACGCGAATCCAAAGAGATCTAGGCCTTATTCACTTTAGAACTAGGGTTTGGGACATGATAGCTCCATTAACAACACAAGAAAAGGGACTTTAATGCTCTTAGGACCTTCTCCACTCCAGATCTGAGGTAGCAACCTCAGATCTATCCTTCAAACTCAAGATGTCACATATCTAAGCTTCCCACACAACCCCCAAAATGAGAATCTAGAAGAACACAGCCCAAGAACGAGATATTACCTCCAAAGAATGCCCCAACAACAATGAAACTCGAATCCAAGCAAAACCCTTTGATCCAAGCCTCTTCTCCTTCAAGATTTCTTCAACAAGCACTTCTCCAAGCTCCAATTTGCTCAACAATGGTGTTCCTCCACGAAGTTAGGGTTTCTGGGGCTCGAGGGGGATCAAAGAGGTTGGGGAGGAAACATAATGTTCTTTATATAAGGCTCATTTCCCGGATTTAGGGTTTTCTTCACCCAGCACCTACTCGCCGAGTCCATCTTTGGACTCGCCGAGTAAGCCACTTGACACCCGATCAAAGTCGCGATCCTACTCGCCGAGTCCATCCATGGACTCGCCGAGTCGCCATTCAAAATTACACTTTTAGTCCTTCAACTCTACTCTTGATATTTCGGGATGTTACAGCTTATATGTGTATTGTGATACTATGCATTTTGTCCTTGTGGTTTATGCTTATTGTTATGAACTTATTGAGTTAGGGTCGGAGGGTCCACCCGAGTTGTGGGACCAGAGGGTCTCCACTGGAACACATTGACTAGAGGGTCGTATTGAGTTAGCCTCGAGTGGCTAATTTGATGTGTGTGGTATTTTGGGGAAATCACTAAGCTTTGTGCTTAGCATATTATATATTATGTGTTTCAAGTACTTCTAAGGATCACGACAAGCCGTCAGTTTAATTGTACACACATCAGAGTTTGAGTTATGATTAAGAGGATCCTGTAGTTTTGATATAGGAACAGTTTTTGATATGAGATTTGATGATTTAACATTGTGACATTTCATGTGGTTTTATTATTGAGATAAATGTGTTTTTAAATTGAAATTTTTGGTTCGAAAATTTACGTTTTTACATAGGGACAATTTGGTTATGTAAAATTCCTATCTTTAATTTCATGCATAGACTACTTGGCTCAAAAGGCCAAAAAGATGGTCCACAAGTTGTATGGGATTTCAATGGCCATAAAGTTTGCACCTTTATGCCATTAAGTCCACTAAAGACTCTAGATCTGAAAGGTTTTCCCACATGGGACCAAGTCCCAAAGACCAACATTCTTGAACCAGAACATGGAGAAAACATCCTAAAACTAGATGTAAACATACTATTGACAAGATAGGAGCTTTAAACCTTAGATGAACCAGAAATGAAGCTCAACGTATAGATCTACTCTCCTCCTACACGTCTTTTGCTCATTCTTCAAGTATCTTCTACTTCAAAATCACAAGGAATGCACAAAAATGGCTCAAAACTCTCAAAAGTGAATTAGGGTTTCATGGCTAGGGTTTGGGACAATGGAGGTTGTAAATGAGGTCAGCTTATGAGGGTTAAGGTGGTTAAATAAGGTGCAAACCCCTAAAAATTAGGGTTTCATTCTACCAGTCCTACTCGTCGAGTCGAGTCTTCTCAACTCGTTGAGTAGACTTCTTAACCCGCGTCCCAATCCATCTCTACTCAACGAGTTTGGGGCATCCAACTCGTCGAGTTTCTATATAAAAATAAATAAATTATGAATTGAATACATACTATGAACCGTGCATTACACATTATAGCATCTGGGTCTTCTGAAATCGCTACTCACGCTAGTGCTAAGTTTTCTTCTTCATTTTATGACCAATTCATCATTTTAGAAGCCATTGGTTTTGAATTATCAATTAAAGCAAGTGTGTGATTGTGAGAAGAAGAGAAAAACAATTGAGTAAAATAAGAGAATAAATGTGGTATTTATAAAAGATGTTTAATTGTGTTTGATATATATATATATATATATATATATATATATATATATATATATATATATATATATATATATATATATATATGGCTTAGGGAATATGTGGTTGTCATGTACATAAGCTTATATATAGAACTCTCCAAACAATATAGTTTTGATCTATTTATATCCAAACTAATAATGACATCTTTTTTACTATTATTTTTTAATAATGTAACTTACTAAATCGATCAAATGTATGTTTTTTTTTTCTTCATTGTGCCTAAGAATAAAAACATTAAAAATTGTGACCATTTAAGCAACCCTATAAAATTCTAAATGAAAACCAATAGAATAAAATATTAAAGAAAAACATGTTATAAATCAGTCAAACTTTTCACGAAATCAATGGATATAGTTTTTCAATTGAAAGACAACACGTCTGAGTTATATTTGTTAAAAATTATTGGTTTTTTATTTTTTCAATAAACTTCAATAATTATTCGCAATAAAAATATATATAATTAATCTTTTTTATTTCATAATTGAATTTAATTTAATGGTATTATATTAAAACAAAACTATGATCAAATGAAATTGGATTTGTTTATTTAAAACTACGTTGTTTAAAAGGTTCTATACCTAAGTTTAGGTACATGACAACCACATATTCACTTTACTATATATATATATATATATATATATATATATATATATATATATATATATATATATATATATATATATATATATATATATATATATATATATATATATATAGCTGTTATTCTTTTTTTTTTTTTTTTGAAACGGCAAATCTAACATACTCGTAAACTACACCTTAAATCCACATATGTACACGATGTGACTTGAACCCTCAACCCCAAGGAAAAAGGACAACACTGTGTACCACTGGGTTAGAAACCCTTTGGTCAACACCCAATAACACTCATCGTTTCAACTCATTATCCGAAGCACGAACAACCATGACCACAAACCACGTTGAGACACCAGGATCGTGTGCATAGTCTTGATTCGTGGCCACCTAAACCACAAACTCAAGCTTTTTGTAAGGTGCATGCTTTCCAAAGTTAACGTACCAAAGTAATCTCTATTTTTTTACTTCAAAATAGAGTAAAAATATAGTAAGTAGTATTTTATCTTCACCTATATTTTTTTTTAATCTTATTTTTTACCAAAAAAATATATTAGTAATATATTTCATTCTTTTTATTTATATAGATTATTAAAAATACTCATTTTACTAATTTGCTTTAAAATTTATATATTTTTATCATTTTTACATTACAATAATATTATAAATTATGTTATCAAAATAAATTGTTCGTGTTTGAAATAATTATGAATTCATTGAAAGAAAATTTGATTGATATAATTTAATATATAATAGGATATTATAAATATTAATTATCACGTTTAAATGAAAACTAATTCAAGAACGCTTTCTTTTATTTATGTTTTTAAAAGTATTAATCATGCTCAAAGATTTTTCGCAAAATCGTTTTTCTAACTTTTGTCACGAATTTTTAAAAAATTTCCAAAATTTTTCCAAAAATCGTTATTCCCAAGTATATTTTTAATTTTTTTTTAAAAAAATAAAGTAAATCTTTTCGTATCTACAAAAAAAAAAAAAAAAAAAAAAAAACTTCCGGTAAAATAGAATCTTTTACGTATTTGATAGTCATTAAAAAAAACAAAAAACAAATAAATACATATCACACAGATATATTTGGGAAATTGATTTTAAAAGCTAACGAAGTATCAAAAATATACAAAAAAAAAACCATTTTTTTTACACAAAATATAATTTTACCGGTTATTGTAGGTTACCCGGTTTCCAAATGTTCAAAAAATATCATTATTGTTTTTTTAGTGCAAAAAAAATTAATGTTACTATTTATACACAGAATACCAACGAAATACACATATGTTCAACTAAAAATACCATTAATGTTACTACTTGTACGAAGTTTCCAAAATATTTAAAAAATACCACATTATTTATTGATTGTGTTGTCGGATTATGTAAAACACAATCACTAGAGATCATGAATTGTTATATTAGTTCACAACAATTGTGAAATTTTTTTTCATTCTTTCATTCAATTGTTCTTATGGTAATAAGAGAAGTAAATGGGTAATAACATTAGTTAAACATTCTTTCTTCCTAATCACATTATATGCATAAAACATATATACGTTATATAAATGCATATATTATACATCAATGTTAGTTGTTCAATACAAAAGAAATACAAAAGAGAAATGAGTGTGATGTTATGTCATGAGAATTCCTAAATATGGATTTAGATACAAACTGATCCGAGTAATGAAATGAAAGATAATAAACAACTGGTGTGAACTGGTACGACGGTAACTAATCTCCGATGACTGTGTCCGGAAACAACGAAGTTAACAAAATGTGCTCTGAAAAAATAACAATGGTTTTTTTTTGAACATTTTGAAAATTTCAATAGTATTTTTTATACTAAAATACCTGCTGTAACAGGTTACCTATAAGGTTTTATTTGAACACATATGTATTTCATTGGTATTTTGTGTATAAAAAATACATTTTAATGGTAACTTTTTTTAAATCATTTTCCCAATATATTTTAATAACACTAATAGTATTTCTCATCTAAGAAAGTAATAAAACAGGTTCCATAAAATACTAAGCAATTTAATAATAATTTATAACTATTTAACTAAATATTATGACATCACCAACAATTTTCATCATCATCAAGTATTTAAATTGATTTAACTTTGGGAAATTATATTTTTCCAAAAATTAAATTTATAAATATCTTTAAAAATCTTTGAGGACCTTTCGCACTTGTTCAAGGGTCACAAAAAGGACCACCGTGAAAGGACCCTGCCTTGAAATTGTGGGTATGAACCCCTTGTAAAGGGCCATAGGCCCCTCCGCCTTTACCGTTTTCAGGGCACAATCAATCGCCCCCTTATACGGCGGCGCCACCCCTTCCTCCACCTTCATGTTCATCACCCGGGTTTTGATCACATCCACCGGATTCGAAGCAACCGACGCCACAAATCCCGCTGCAAAACTCGCCGTCACATGAGTGCCCAGTCCGTCACCCATAACCCCTTGTTTGATTATCGTTTCCTTAATTTGATCATACGACGCCAGCTGCGAGGCCGTGACGATCATCGCACGGTTCACCGTCAGGGAGGATCCCCTCCACAGACTGGTAACTCCTTCCTGCTTCACCATCGTCGAGATTGCATCGGCAACACCTTTGTAGTTCCTCCGCTGAGCCAACGGAAGCCTCCCATCGGCTTGCATTCTCACCATCGCAACATCAGCTGGGTTGCCGACGGCGGCGCCGATCCCACCAGCCAACAAACCGGCAGTGATTTTCCGAGTCAGAGAAAACGTACCCGTATTCTGGTCAGTCCATTTTTCTCGGAAAATCTCGTAAAGCCCCATCCTGGTGGTCGAGTACAACGTCTGCCGGAGAACAGTAGCAGAAATACCGGAAAACAACGCGGCAACACCTTCAGTTTGAAAAATCTTCACACCCACCGAAACCGGTCCAGATCTAACAACTGGCGGCGGCGGATGCGGCATTTCAACAGTGGTGACGCCGCCACCGTTATACGCAAAAGCAGGGCGAAGATTAGGGTTACTAACAGGAGCAGGAGCCGATTCCCCCTGTAACTGCATGCGAACTTTAATCAGATCCAAAGGGTGAGTAGAGCACCCTGCAACAATGGAAGCAATCCCGCCTTCAACAAATCCCTTAGCACCCATTTCAACAAATCTAAAAGTTAACTACTAACAATACAAATCTGAATCAAAGAATCGAGTTAGGATCTGGGTACTAGAAACTAACAACACCAATTGGGTTTCAAATCACTAGAAACAAGGAGATGGGAATGAAGCTGAAAAGCTATGGAGGAAGAATGAGGAACGATAGACCTGTGAGACATAAAAGTGCGATTGAGTTGGATGAAAATTGTGGGGTTGGGGAGTGAAATTTATAGGTGGGTTTAGGCGAGTGGGTGGAAGAAGGTGAATACGCGTTTGTGGGGGAAGATTGGCGAAAAAAAGCGAACCAACTGGAGCCCTAATTTTGTCTGAGACAGGTTGTTTCTGGGCGAAAGAGAATTCTTCTTCGTTGAATTTGACTTGGTTCGGACGCAATATTGGAATAAAATACAGAAATATGTTCCACTTTAGCAAAATACGTAATTTGGACACAAAGATAGAAAATCAATTTCTTATTCAAATAATAAGATTTATTAATTACACGTTTGCACACGAGGGTGTGCAAAATTTAGGATGAACCAACATAAATGGAGTGGTCAGATTACTCAGTTTCCCTTAAAAATAAGATTTAAACTTATTTAGGTTATTATAAAGAGATCATAACCAAACCGATAAATCTGAGTTTAACAATGCAAACTTGGAAGAAAACACATAGTCGACCATGATAAAGTCAAGTAAGAGTTAGCATGTTTGAAATTTGTCGTTGATCAACATGTTTGAAATTTCAATACAAGATTCATACATATTGTTATATAAAATTTGTTTCTAATAAATTATTATTTATTTAAAAGCTAGTTTCACCATCATGTAGAGATTTCCCAGATTCTGATCATCGATATAACTTCTAAGCAAGCTTATTGTCCAGATGTATTCCTTGTGAATGAGCAACAAACCCTATACAAGTTACAACTTACAAACAGTAGTTTATGTTTTTTTATTTAAAGAATTGATTTTTCCACGGCACATTTTCATTGATCCTCTGAAAGTTTAATGCGTGGACAATTATACCCCCAACTCATTTTCATCTTCATAAAATGCAGATTTGTGTATTTAATGAGGATCATCTTCATTTCTCAACCTGCTTGCTTGGTATGCAAATCAACATATTATTTTGCATCTAAAATCAAATGTCAAAGTATTTTATTTGTATTGTTTTTTTAGATTTTGAAATACTTAGATCTATAATTTTTTAGTGTTCGCATCAGATTTCATTTTTCATTGGAAACCTAATTATTAAACAAGGATTCAACCTGTGAACAGGAAGCGTTGCAGAACCACCCAGATGAAGAACCCAGATTATACACCTCATTTTGTGCCTTATAATTATTATTGTCCAAACTAAGAACACAGATTATGAACACACACACACACACCTGCAAATCCATATTGAACACACACACATAGCTGCAAATCGATATTGAACACACACACATACACACTTGAAAATCGATATTGAACACACACACATACACACTTGAAAATCGATATTGAACACACCCACACATAATGATGCACACACACACACCCCTACAATCATATGCCTTTGGAGTTTGGGGAGTTCAAGAAAAAGCAGTAAAATAGCTATTGGTACTGGTCACTTAATCGAAACAAGAAACCAAAAAGTATCATGCTCCATGCCAAAACGAAACAAGAATTCATATCAGGTTCCAATCATTCTGGTGTCACACATGAGAATAACACAATTATGAAAGCCAAGAGTCCAATTTTTAATGCACCTTTGAATTTTTACATGGCCGATATTCGGTTTTTACACTAAATTCAAGTGATTACTCTACTTTCCTAGGTCTTTATTTCCATTCCAGTGATATCGTGACTTCGTACCCGAGCATGAGCGTACTTCATTTTCGCCTAGTTCACTTAGTGTTCGAATCGAAGATGAAGAAGCATTGATCGGCTGAAGATGTATCTGTGGAAATTATTGAGTTTATTGAATAGGAGATTTGACTGTAAATCATTGAGCCATTTGGAAACAATTTATTTTCTCTTTCTTCAATATCATAAATTACAACTAAAATTCATTTTGAGGGGTAGAAGTGTCCATACATTAGACTTTCAGTGGATGAATCAAAAGATAACCTGGAAAAATCAGTTCCTTTTTATTTATGTTTTGTAATAGAAAATGGATTTCAAAATAAAAAGTAAAAGTCAACCACCACCAAAAGTCAAATGTGTGTTTTTTTTTTGTAATAGTCACATGGCAAGGAAAACATATAATAATGACGTGACTTTTTATTATTTATAGTAATAGACAATATGTTAATACGTTAAGACACTAGGTGTAAAATTACACGGATTGATTAAAAAAATTATATATCAAAGTGTAAACAATAAATGTTTATTAAAATAAAATTTTAAAATAATAAATGAAAAATATATTAATTGCAATTTGCTATCATATTTATTAAATTTAATAGTTTACATATATAAATATATGTTTTATGTGTCGTTAATTTTAAAAATTGAAAAAAATCTAGAAATTGACATATAGATATTATTTTATTTTAAAAATATTAGAAAATAAGAAGTATCAAAATTTATAAGAGATTGACATGTGTCAAAATAGTAAATGTTATCACATAAAAATTGTCATCTCACATGTTATGTCATCCATAATATTATAACACTAATTAAAGAAATTGACAAGCATGTTATAACATCCATTAAATTTTTATGTCATCATCTTTTTTCGAGTTTTTTTTTTTTTTAATAATTTTAGAATAAATATAATTTTATAAAACAAATTATATAAATAAAAATTGTCATCTCACATGTTATGTCATCCATAATATTATAACACTAATTAAAGAAATTGACAAGCATGTTATAACATCCATTAAATTTTTATGTCATCATCTTTTTTCGAGTTTTTTTTTTTTAATAATTTTAGAATAAATATAATTTTATAAAACAAATTATATAAATAAAACACTATAACATTTAAATTGAAAAGGAAAAACATTACAATACAAAAAGAAAAAATTAACAAAATTTTCAAAGAATAAATCTATGCTTTTTTATGCCTGAGATTTTTTATTGTTCAAAAATATCATCTCGAAATATATTTTTTGGCTTTTTTCTTTGATTGAAGTATCATGTTTAAATAAACTTTTATGAATAACCATGAATACTTTTTTAAACAAAAATCCTACTTTATAATAATGAAGAATCCGACGAATTAAAATGAATATAAGCCCAAGAGCAGGCCAATAGGCCGTCCTTTCTTTTTCTTTAAGTGTGTATTTCACCGGTGGGAAAATGATTCTCGAGGGTAATTAATTTTTACGTTTTTACTTTTTTTTTTTTTTTTTTTTAATTCAATATACCATCGAACTTGTTGTTTGTGTTCACCATAACCCTTTTGACCGACTTTTGACCTGTGATAGCCGGTCAAATGGTTATGGTGAACACAAACAACAAGTTCGATGGTATATTAAGTACAAAAAAAAAAAGAAATGAATGAGAACAAACTCAACATTTGGTTACACTCCTGAGTCATTTTCCCTTTACTTATTTACCGCAAATCTCACGTCATCTCCTACTGATATTGATGATTTTATGAGATTCATTATTGCTTCTCTTCAAAACATAACCCACGAAAGAACACTATTCATACATATACAACCTTGTAATGCACTTGAATATTTATTAGGGGAATCTTTACTAAGCAGACGCATTTTATGACTACATTTACATTTGCAATCGAATGATTTATCGTATCATGGATTCTAGACAAGTCTACAAACGAGTGGAATCACAAGTGCTGTGATTTTTGAGTTTAATTAGCTTTATGATCGAATTCATGGGATGAGATACAACATCAATATGTACAATATCATGCTGGTTTTGAAGACACATCACCATAATATACCTTGAGGTAAACGTTTATGCTGATAAATATAGCTCTCATACACAATCATATCATTTTGAAGAGAGGTGTTAACAGCTAACCACAGTAAGCATAACATAGACCATGTTTTAACGAAGTTACCCATCTGAATTGCTCTTCATATATGTTATAGCCAAAGAAGGTTGCAGTCTTTGATAATTTCGCAACTTTAATTCCATTTAACTTTTCGGGGAAAATGACTCAGGAAGGTAACCAACTGTTGAGTTTGTTCTCATTTGGTCCCCTTTTTTTTTTTGTACTCAATATACCATCGAACTTGTTGTTTGTGTTCACCATAACCCTTTGATCGGCTATCACATGTCAAAAGCCGGTCAAAAGGGTTATGGTGAACACAAACAAAAAGTTCGATGGTATATTGAATACAAAAAGAAAAAGAAAATGGACCAAATGAGTACAAACGCAAAAGTTAATTACCCTCAAGAGTCATTTTCCTTTCCACCTGCATTACAATACGTTGCAACCACAAGAGATAACCCGTATCCCTCTAGGCTCATGTAATAAATTTATATACTTAAATAAAATATTTAACATAATAAATATTTTTGTTAACTTCAATTTTGGAGGTTATATACATCAATTTATGTAGAAATAACTTGAATTTCTTACCGGTATACATAATAAACACCATTTGTATTGTTGAAATTTGCAACTAGTTAAGTATAATACTTTTATTATTAATATCAATGCATGTATATTTAGATCTGGTTTATAATAAATTAATAACTTATAATAGTTAATTTATTGGGTTGCAATAAAAAATATACATTTTTATATGGTTTTTGCAGTATTTCATTAGGAAAAATTGACAATTTGTTGCCAAATACTAGTGGCAAATATAGAATAGAAATTCACGTGTTTTACTAACTAGGTTCAATTGATGCAGTATAAGCATGGCTTTGAAAACCAGTTAGGTTGTTTTTTTGAAAAAAACTTCTTCAGACCTCTTATAGTTGCGTGGCGCAGCACACGCACAACACTTTTCATCTTGCAGTTGTTTGTTTTTCAGAAGTCTTCGGATTAAAAAACCTATGTGCGTGTTCTTCTTGACAAAACA